GGACCCCTGGGTAAGAATGACCACATATAAATAACCAAAAAAAAGGCACAAAACACAGAGACAGAACAAGTGGGCCAAGCAAAAGAAGCACAGCCAGACAGAAAACGCTGGAGGTACCCAGGTCAACATTTTAAAAGTTAACCTCCAGTAGCAGAGCAACTGGTGGAAATGACTTTAACTGACCTGAAGTTTGTAACCAAGCTTAAGCCTGAGAAAGAGGTCAATCAGACCTTGCAGAGAGTAACTGCCTAGCTGAAAGAATTGCTGAAGGAGAATAATGAGAAGTCCCTTACTGTACACCAGGCCCTCAAACTTGTTTCAGAGCCCAAAGTTGCTGAGGACATGTTCCCAGAGAAAAAGAAAAAAGCACTGGGTCTGGAATATAGCTGCATTATTAAATAGCTCCCTATTTACTACACACTGCACTATTTGTCAATTTTATTTGAGGTTTGTAAATGTGTCAATTTTAAGCACTATGGGACAGCATTCTATAAACTATCAGTCCTAATACCCAAGGTACATAAACATATTTTGCGGATGTCTTAGGGCATGCAGCCTTTTTTTTTAACTTCATAATAACTGAATAGTGCAATTGACTGACACTGCAGCTTATCTTTAGACATACACTATTGTCAGGAGCTGTTTAGCAGGCTAGGCCCCAAGTCCATGAGGAGGTACCAGTGTGCAGAGCTTTAAGAAGAAGCAGGACAAAAACCCTCCACGACAGCTAAGATGAACACTCACTCGATTTACTTAACTAGTGGCACATGGATACAAAAAGCTGATCTCAGGTTAATAGTGTTACTTTTTAATTTAAGGTTAAAACATGAACTCAGGTAACAATTGTAGCATTTTCTTCAAACAAATTAAACTCAGGAAAATCAAAAGGGATTTTTTCATTATAGGAACCTACCAAAACATGTTGTGCCAAGTAATGCTCATCATGGGTTTGGTGTTTGTTTCCACTCAGCCTGCTTTGGAGATGTGCTCTGTGAGCTACTTTTCAGCACCCTCAGGAGGTAATACTAAAATCAATTACCAGGACCACGAGGGGGAGGGGGTGTGTGCATGCTGAGCAGTTGCCGGTGACTGGTTAAATGTCTGCATCTTCACACCTGAAACATTATCACTACAAGCACAGTGTGTAAACCCACAGCTGACTGTGTCTGTGAGAGAGGAGCAGTCCCTCCCTTCTATAAACAGAGACCGACAGAGAGAAAATACAGTGGAAAAACAAAGCAGGATGGTCCGCGTCAACCATGGAGGCTATGCTTGGTGATGGTTAAGGTAAGTCCAGGGTTCCAATAGTGGAAATGCTGAAAAAGTCTTTAGGTTCACAGAACAGAGCCATTAGCTCAGGGAAGCATGGACTCTTGGTGAAAATAGTTTGTACTGGTTGAGAACAAGTCTTTCAGGCCGATACATGACAGTATTGCAGCTGAGGCAGATGTTGAAGGAGTGAAACAGAAGATCTGGTGACTGCATAAAAGGCAAAAACCAGGATGAAGAGAAGGACCAGAGGCAAAGTTAAGGATATAGAGAACCAAAAACTGAGGAGGGTGAGGTGGTAATAATGGACCAGGTGAGAGCGTTTAAATAGGAAACAGGTGTGTAGAGTCTAGGCCCATAATAGGAGTAGTGAAGCTGGGACAAAGACAGTGGAAGAGTTTGAAAATAAAAGCATCTGATAGATAAATGTAATTTTTAATTATGTGGCAACATCACAAATAATGAATAATGCACTTTGCCTCAAAGCTAAATTTATCTATGAATAACACCTAAGTGACCAGACTTCAGTTAGATATGGCAGACGGAAGCTTAACTCTGGTGAATGTTTCTGTATGGAAAATGTGTAAAATATGTCTCTATGTGTGTGTGTGTGTGTGTGTGTGTGTGCACATAAAAACATGTATGTAAAAACAAGAAGAACTTTTTCATATTAAAAACCTTAACCAGTAAATGCTATTCACTTTATTTAAAGCAATACTGCATTAATTCTTAGGTCAAAGAGTCAGAAAAAAAGGAAGGCAAAATGTTTTCTTCCTTCAGCACGAGTTGTGCATTACAGATGCATCAAATTATAACAAATATTCTGCTAAAAAGTATGGGGATAAATAAAATCTAATTAAGTGATAACCTTGTAGAGCTGCAATTGGACAACAATATATTTTGTGGGCAAAGCAATCAAAATGTCTGTTACAGTATGCATCATTTTTCCAGTGCATATTTGCTTTTGATTGTGAACTTAATCAAAAGTGACAAGAAAAAAGATTAAATTAACAGCCATGCAATTGGATAATAGAATCCTCTCATAAATTAATACATGTAATGCTATTTCAGGACCAACTAATCAAGCAGCATTTAATCCAGTATTTACTGTACCAGGCCAACCAATTTCCTTGTGGAACATTAATCAAAAAGAACATTAATAAACACACAGGTTCTTACACAAAGAAGAACAGCCTGTCCTTATTAGTAAAAAGCTCTCCTTCATCTCATTGGGGGCAGGGTAAACTAGCAGCTGCAGGGTTGAGTTCAATCTGATAGTTTGTCATGTGTACCGGATATGGAAAGTTTCTGGTTCTCTAACATCTGTCGGATGTTCAGGTTCCAGTCCTGAAGGACTAGGGATGTGCAAAGCTTTGATCCCAGGTAACCTCAAATATACTCTACCTCTTCTGAACCATGCAAAAATGCCCTACCAGGCGAAAGGTGCGTTGCCTGGCTGCAGACAAGATGCAACACAGTACCTGATGATCTGTTTCATATCGGCTTAGCCCTCTGAGGCTGTCACCATTTTGTTTATCCAGCACTATCAAGGTCTTTCAGTTACATGTGCACTTTGTTTAATAAATTAGGAAATTACTTTGACTTAAACATCAAATATTTAAAAGAAATGGTGACATTTTAAAAACTTTTTCAGTTAACTTTATACTGGACATACATATTTTAAAAAGTGTACTAATCACAAGCTTCTCATTTAAAAAAAAAAAATTATAAAAGCTTGTGTTATTTCACAGAAAAAATGACAAAGAAGACCAACTTCCTGTTGTGGAGTTCCTCCAGCTTGTCTGCAGCCTGGTACTATTGGGCAAAAATGCAATATTTGGTCAAAATTAAGACCCGATTTTGACTTGGTATGTTTTATTCCATAAAAAATGTAAATGCCATATAGTTTGTGAAGATAACATGCGTTCAGTATGTTAAGATGTAAAATTTGCAGTTGCTACAAAACAGAGCTAAGAAGCAAATCACAGTAATTTGATGATTTGTATTGCTGGCTTGGGTGATGTAACTGTACTGTACTCTCTGCCAGAGAGAGTCAAGTACACATCTAAAGTGAAAGCTGCCTAGTGAGACAGCCACAGGTAGCTTGAGCTAAAGCTACACATTTTGGGTGAACTGTAATTCAGTTAGTTACTGTATTCCATACAGCTACAGTAAAGGCAGCATATAAAACCAATCATGATGGAGAAAAAATAGGTTTAACCCCTGCTACCAGAGTATCTCAGCTGCTGTCTGGTGCGGCTGAGCTACATTTAAATCACACATTTCAATGTGTCAGACTAACTTATTAAAAATATAATAGATGGACAGAAAAACCTAACACAGCAATACATGTGGTCATTGAAATAAACTATATTTAGTCAAAAATTAATTATAAAGTTGTTCAAATGGTTCACACTTTGTAGATATTACATTACTCCGCTGCTCTCTGTGAAGATTCATTTATGGCACAGTTTTTCAGCCAGTCAAAATGTTTAAAAAGCTTTTTGCTCCACTTAACTCCTGTATTTATTGTTTTCTGTAAAAGGGAAGAAGCAAAACTATGAAGGTAATTGTGTGCCTTTAAAATGCAATCAAAAATCAAGTTTGTAATTAAAAACAAGCAGGCACCTTTTAATGTCATAAAATGTTTCTATTGCAAATCGGACACTTCTGACTGTTTTGAGTCAAAAACCTTTGCAGATTAAACTATTTTGGCTGCATGTCAGATTATAATATGTGGGAAGAGTGTGATGCAATAATGTGTCTCCATTGACCAGTCGACGCTGAATGACAGCTGTGACCAGCTAATGACTTTGGCTGGAGGACTCTGACCATTAATAATTCATGCTCCAGGGATTGACTTGGTTAGAAGCTGCTCATGAGAAAAATCATGTCAGGTGAATTCACAAGGAACTTGAAGGGAATTCATTAGATGTCTAAATTCATAGCTAAACATAAATGAAATAGTTTCTTAACTAAAAAGTTGTTTAATGTTATTTGATATGAACTCATTAGAAACAGGGTTGGCACACACACACACACACACACTACTACTTTTGGCTGTTCCCATGGGGGGTCACCACAGCGAATCAACCGTTCGCATGTATACAACACATTTGGCACGCGTTTTATACACTCACACACCCATATATATATATATATATATGGAGAGAGATAATTAGGTACAAACATAATTTTATGGTATAGTTTAAATGTTATTGACACAGCTCAGATTTTATTCCTGTAGTTTGTGAAGAAAAGCTGCATCAGAAACACATTTTCATATAACACTGCAGAACTACAAATACAAGTAGCTAGTCTCAAATCGATCATAAAAGCAAGTTAATACGCATCAACAAAAATGGAGATGCATTGTTACCTCCCACCATATTGTAATCTAAAAATGCAACCAAAAGATTTTGGACTACAAATGTTTTTGACTCACAAAATGTTTTCACATGCCAAACTTTGGTACTTGCACGCAAAACTTTTTATGATGCACAAAAAAGGTGCCTGCTTGTTTTTATTACAAAATAGATTTTTGACTGTATTAAAAAGACAAAAAAGTACCTGCATAGAAGCCAACACACTGAATAGTGCATTAGGACTCGAAGTCTGTCTTCTGATTGGTCAAATGAGACAGAAGAGTTATTGTTCAGGATTGGTCACACAGGATGGCAGCGAGGCCTGACTGGTCAGCCGTTATGAGACAAAGCCAAAAAGCGGCTGGATGAAGAGGCCCATGGTTCCCAGGACACACACGGTCACAAACACCCAAAGGAAGATTCTATCTATCACCATGGCAACATACTTCCAGTCATCCTCCACCTGTGAGCAAGGAAGGGGACAACAATGAAAAGTATGAGAAGACAAGAGGAAGGTGTCAGTGGTGACAAGTGAAAGATGAAAAGTAAAGAGGGATTTTTAAAAACCAGATGAGGCGAGGTGCACGTTGAGAGAGAGAAGAGGGTGATTCAGAAACTCAGAAGGTGGGAGGTTGTGGAAGTTGATAGGGTGAGATGAGGATTACACACCAAGAAAAAAGGAAAGACAGAAAAAAGAGGAAGAGAGAAGAGAACAGAAAACTGATACATACAGTACTTTACACAGGAGCAAATTACTATGAAAATCACATTCAAACCACAGTGTCAGACGTGACAGGCGTTCTGACAAAGCAGATTGAGCCACAAGTTTTGCATATCCAAGGCTACTTCTCCTCTTTAGGAGACTTCACCCACTCTGTTTATAACCAACAGAGGGAAGAATGAGAGCTCTTCACACAAATATAAAATTATGTGTTTCCAATTTACACTCAAGTCCATATATGGAATAAGTCAAGACCTGCAGCAGTGCTGCCCAGAATTGCAGTAGCACTTCTGTATTGTATTTTGCATTTGTATTTATTATGTTTGCATAAATGCATTATGCATGGTGCGTGCATGCTGTGTTTGTTTTCTATTAATGAGGATAGATTTATATAAAATATAGAAAGACCAGAATTTTATATATCTTCTGTGACTTGATTCTGAAGTATTGTCAGCTGCATGTCTTGAAATGGCAAAGCTACAGACTGAAATTGGTTCTATAATGATGTTGCTTCGGTGTGTTTCAGAGATTGTTTTGGTTTATCACAATTTTTTGCTTTATTTTGGTAATGTTTATTTTTATTTTAAACAGTTTGACTGCAGCAGGTATGATAGGTCAGAACTGACACAGCCATGGTAAGCTGAGATGCAGCAGACAGTTTGGGTGATAATTTTACTGCTCTCTTTTGCTTTGTCTTCTAAAATACACTCACCTAGGTGACAGAGGAAAAAAAAGTTTTTAAAAGAAGCTTCATGAAAAACAGCAGCCATGTGACTCCAAGACAGCAGGTTTATGACAACTATTTATGACCAAGACAACTTATGACCATTCACTTGGGGATGTCACAGAAAACTCCCTACAAGTAAAACAACCAGCTTCAAGATGACCTCTGAGTGTTACTGTATGTTGTGTATGTGCTTTCTTCTTAACACCAAAAAACGGCTCTTATATTTGATCAGGTAATGACCATATTACAGAAGGACTCCATATCTGAAATGTTTTCCTTTATAATGTTGCAGGTGTAGCTTGATCAGAGAGAACTAGAAGCAGCTGTTTCAATACATTTGATTTATTTGGCAGAAACTGTTGCCCAAAGTGCATTTAAACTCCACTGAAACAAGAGCTAGATTTGTTTTTAAATCAAAAATCTGAGTTTAGGGTGCAGTCCTGCCAGTCCTCCTTCTCTCCTTCAGCTGTTTATTGACTGATTTCACAAGTTTATCACACCAGCTGTCTAGTAGTAATCCTCATCCTAACTGTCTCCATGCTCTAAAACTGGCATTCTGGTTTATTGAAGTGAAGTGACCAGTTAGTAAGTTTAGCTGTTTCACATAACCCTTACATTTTATGCCCTCCTAGTTGTTTTTATTTAACAAAAACCGATGTCAACTATTTATTTACTGTGTCCACTAAATCTAGGTGACATTTAAAAGTATCCCTTTCAATTACTGTATTATCAACACAATGCAGCAAACAGTAATTTTCCCTTTGTTCTTTTCCATGAAATTGCATGCCTCTACTTTGCCGATATGAATCTGACAATATATTTACATAAAAAAGTTCAACACCTTGAGAATGCATATGCATGTAGTGCCTCTTACTGTAAAGACTGCATTGGATTTGATTCATTTTACTGTTTTATTCACTTCCAGCCAGACTGGTCGGTTACAGTGAAGATAAACATGCTGACTCACCTCTTTGGCCTTGTTGCGGCTCCTCATGTTTTCAGCAATGTACTTGACGCTCTCGATGGCCTGTTTGACCTCAGGTGACACTACAGAAAAAGCCACCACTGTGTTGATGCTCTGGGAACTCAGCTGATGTGTCATCTTCCCCATGTCTGGTGTTTCCGGGGTCTCCTTCCCATGTTGGCAGGTGCAAGGACCTTTCTTCCCTGTGCAGCCCTCCATGGGCGAGAGCTTACTGTCCCCATACTCCAGACTATTGATAGAGCCGCCTCCGACCTGCTGGAGGTCAGAACCAGAGTCCAGATGAACACATTTTTACATTTTGCCTAATCTCAAAGTAAACATCTTTTTGTTATAATTTCTTTTTTCCAGCCATGGCTTTTTTCTTTTTTCTCACAGGTAAGGGATCTTTGGGACACATCTGCGTGATCTAAGCAGTACATCTTTACAAGTTGATATCTTGGAGACAGCGAAAGGGAAGGTGATAAGGACTACTTACACACATCAAGCTATTCTTCCTTTTCTTCCCTCCTTTCCGTCCTCCACCTCCTCCTCTCCCTCCATCTCCTCCTGCCTCCCCACTGCTGTCCAACCCCCCAGCCTTGGTGTCTTCATCGGTTGGTCTCCGCATCAGCATGATTCTCGGCAGCACTTTGAGAAACACAGAGCGCACCCAACCCGGCATAGTGTGGGTCATTGGTGTGCGGTAGTGTACATTTAGCACAAACACGGTGATGACAATGCTGAGTGTGACGAAGATCATTGTGAAGAGCAGGTACTCTCCAATGAGTGGAATGACCAGCGACGTGGAGGGGATGGTCTCAGTGATAACAAGTAGAAACACAGTGAGGGAGAGCAGGACAGAGATACAGAGCGTGACCTTCTCTCCACAGTCAGATGGGAGATAGAAAACCAGCACTGTGAGGAAAGAGATGAGGAGGCAGGGGATGATGAGGTTGATGGTGTAAAAGAGTGGCAGTCGTCGGATGTAGAAGGAGTAGGTGATGTCAGTGTAGATCTCTTCACAGCAATTGTACTTGATATCATGCTTGTATCCCGGAGCATCAATGATTTCCCACTCGCCACTCTCCCAGAAGTCTTTCAGGTTCACCTAGGAGATGAATAATAATCAAATCATGTGCCGATTTAATGCTGCAACAGCAATCAGGGTCAACTTACCATTCCTCATGAAGCATGTTTTTTTAGATCCTTTTTCACATGTAAGAAGTTGCAAAACCTAGATTTCATGCACATGCACCCAAAACATGTGGCTGCAAGAAGATGCAGATCACTGTATATCTTGTCATCTTTATGCCTCTTTACGGCTTTAAAAACCTTAGTATAATAGGAAGTGGACAACAATGAGAACAATGGGGGTTCTAACTGCTGGATGGTTGAGTTCCAAATCTTACTTTTAAAATCTGTATGATTATTATCTGTATTACACATTCATAAAAGTAAGGCACTTCCAAGAGACACAGTATAAAAATAGTGATTAAATTCGAAACACCAGAAGCTGAGATCCTCCTATATCCCACTTTGTTCATATTTTGTTGACTTGGGGTTTTTGCCAAATATTTGGTAAGATAACTTTAACGACATCAACAGTACATCATCTGGTGATCTGTTCAGAGATTAGAGAGCACCCCTCCAGGAGCTCTGCCTGCAGGAAACATTATGCAACCGTTTTCAAAGCCTGATTACAGCTCTCCATTAGTAAACTGGCTGTAAAATCAATGGACACACAAACAATGTGTCCTGCTGTAAATACATGCAGTATCTGATCAGATGTGAATAAGCAGTGCTTTCCTGTATGTAAGACAGAAAGCAAAATGATGAAATAGATTGGGAGCTGAAAGTTAAGGTAGACTTGAACACCATCACAACCACTGACCTTGGACCCAATAAGTACCAGGTCAATCTTGGCTTTGTCATAGGTCCAGGAGCCAAACTTCATGGAGCAGTTCTGATAGTCAAAAGGGAAGTAGGTGATGTCCATGGGGCAGGAGGATTTGAAAATGGCTGGAGGAACCCAAGTGATGGTCCCATCAAATTTCAGCAGAGCCTTGGTCTTATCCACCACCAGGAAATCACCTACAGCGCTGTCCATGATGTGTGTAGCATAACCAAACAGAAGTATGACCACGGCAGAGAAATGACATATGAGACGAGCATATGCAGGTTTTGAATAGGACACAAAGGTTAAATGAAGATAGAGACAGACCAATGAAAGGAAAGGCAAGGAAAAAATGAATACAGGAGAGAAAATAAAAAGACAAGGTACGAAGGAGAGCATCAAGGCCAGGGACAATGAAGCTGCTTTACACATTATTATGAAATATAAAATTGCCGTTGATTAACATTATGAGTCAGTGTTGAATGTAGAAAGTAGGATTTAATTTACAGTTAAGCAAACTGAAACTGATAAAATAAAGCAGACCACAAAATGACCCTAAACAATAGATGACCACATTAACATATTAAAGTTTAATTACAGCAGAGTGTGTTGCACAGTGTAGCAATTTTATATTCTGATGATGTTAATAACACAGATCCTCATGCTAAAAATAACAAAAATGGGTTTTTGTCAGTGCTTTCCAATGACCATTTGTGAAGGCTTCAGCACTGGCCTTCACCACGTGAGGGCCTAAAGCACCAACCAGCAGTAGAACTGGTTGGGTAATTGTTTGTTTTCTTTTTTCATATGTGTAGCTTTAAGTTGTAGGCAAAGGTTAGGTATTTGATTTTGACTTTGGACATACATAAATTAATCAAAAAAGCATGTACATTTGGTTGACTATGTATTGTTAATGTGTGTAAAATTGTCTTTTGAGTTACCGTGTTCCTGGTCCATGGATGGGGGTGGTCCTGAGAAAAACACTGGACTGAGGAAGCAGCAGATTTAAATACCTCCTACTAGGCCTGGACTGCACCAAGAGCCCAATACAAGGAAGGGGGGAGTTTGGGAGAAATGTATTGTTTATGTTGACACTTTATTTGTCAAGTTATATTAATTTCTTTACATTTTCGGAAAAATAGTTAGTTCAGTGTTTCTTCGTAGATTAATTTGATAGTGTCTTTTTCTCTGTGTATGTTGTTGGTTTGGCCAGCCAGTATAAATGTTCCCCTGTGTGTGTCATTTGTTAGGTCATATACACCATACAGTGACTATAGCAGAGCCACAGCTGTGTTGGATCTGTGAATGTAAACCAGAACAGTTTTTGGCTCTATAACCAAAACAATGAGCTAAAAGAAGCTAAATTGCTTCATAGAGCTGAGGAGAAGTACAGAGCTGGGTGGTGGGTTTATAATGTCTGTCACATGCCACATTCATTTGTCCTATTACTAATATAAAATTATTGACTGCTTCAGCTTTAAGGTTAGAGAGAGATCTTGTTCTGGGTGTACGAGCTAATGATAATGATAACTGTAATGATGCCGGGAGGCTCACTTGTTATAGAGCACAATGTCGGGTCTCCAGATCTTGCTTGATGGAACTCTAATGAACTCAATCCCGTCAAACTCTGCTGGCATCCATCGCAACTTGTAGTCATTCCAAATCTGAAGGAGGATTAGAGGGAAATATTCAGAGTGCGTTGGAGAGTCAAACATTCATTTTGTGTTTTCCATTGTACACTGCAGACAGTTTTATTCACAGGAGACATCCCCCTTCATGGGAATATTGTGAAATACTTATTTATACTGCAGGCAGAACTTCCTTTGATGATTTACAGTGGAGCAAAATAACAATATTGTTGCTAAAAATGTCATGTTTATAGACAGAAACATGCCTTTCACTGAGCACTGATGTGCTTTCACTGCTTTTGCACATAAAATCAAGTAAATGTATTTTTGATGCAAGTACTTCTGCGAATACAGTTCTAATGTAGCAGATCTGAAAGAAAATAGTAGCACATTAACAACAGTCACATGACTAAAAGCTCAGAGGGAGGGGAACAAATGAAAAAATAAGCAGACAACTTTGGATTAATACCCAATTACAACCTGGGAGCTGTTTAATTAATTACTTCACACTGGCTTTTTTTTATCTCTCTGTCCAGGAAGTTCACATTGATTGACGTGAGATGTATTTCATCCATCCATCCATTTTCCTCCGCTTATCCGGGACCGGGTCGCGGGGGCAGCAGTCTAAGCAAAGATGCCCAGACTTCCCTCTCTC